CAAATGTCTTTCTTTAATTTTTGTTCCACATTAAACCCAAGTGGAAGAGAATTTTTTAAAACATATGAAGCATTGTTTGAAATGTTACTCATTGTACCTAAGGCTGATGAGGCTCCGTTTACCGATGAGGGTTGAGAAGAGGTTGCATCATCAACTGCCATGTGTTCGGCTTGACCCTGTGTCACTTGTCCATCTGTGGATTGGTTCCCCCTCAATTGAGTTATTAGGAATGAAAGGATTGTGTCCTGGCTTCCGCTCAGATTGGCGATTAATTCAATAGCAATTTCATCAGGAGTTGGGATTTTTGGGGCCTCTACAGCTGGGCTCTCGGCATTGGGTGCTTTGGCTCTGCTGGCATTTCTCGCCCTTCTTCCAGGAGCCACTGGTTCTGACACTTTGGTTGAACTTTTTTTCTTCTGTTTGGGCATCTTGAATACTAATTTAATAAATAAATAAAATTTGTATTAGGAAAGAAACCAAAAATGTAACCGATTATACTAAAAAGGAATTATATATCCTGTTATGATGAATTTGGTAATATAATATTCATGAGTTGAAAAATTGTCTATAATATAATTGTGTTTGATAATTCATTTTCACAAGGAAACAACAGAAATTTTACAATTATAATCAACATGGTCAAGTACCAAAGTATTAATAAGCAGAAGCAGAGTGCAAGAGTGCATACTGATGCACAACCACTTTCAAAAAACATCACAACAACAAAGATGCATAATGATGCACAACGACACCACAACATAATAAAACAAAATACATTATGATGCACGATGATACCATAGCATCACAATGAAATGAAACAAAGTGCATAATGATGCACAGCGATGCATAAGCATCACAGTAAACAAAGTGCATAATGATGCACAATGATGCCTAAGCATCACAATAAACAAAGTGCATAATGATGCACAAAGATGCCTAAGCATCACAGTAAACAAAGTGCATAATGATGCACATCGATGCCTAAGCATCACAGTAAACAAAGTGCATAATGATGCACAACGATGCCTAAGCATCACAGTAAACAAAGTGCATAATGATGCACAACGATGCCTAAGCATCACAATAAACAAAGTGCATAATGATGCACAACGATGCCAAAATGTATGAAGATGCACACAGTGCCTAAGCATCACAAAATAACATCCTAATGTAACCAGTGTATGAGACAGATGAAAGCCAAAACAATACAAGTGATAAATTTTGTAAATGCATGTAGATAAAGCCAATAACTGCCAAGTGAGAGCATAATAATTCATCACAGTTGATCAAAAAGTAGGTGCATATTGGACAAAATTACGGAAGTAAAATGACTAAAATAGCCACAAATCACCAATTAAACATGTTAAATGTAATAAGATATTATTTATCTTACAGTAATAATAATTAATAAAGCTGTTCAGAAATTAATTCTAATGCTCATTTAGATAAACCTGACTGATAGTAACCGTTCCAATACAGGAATTTTAAACTGATACAAACTATTTTGTAAATATTTGAATTCAATTCTTTGATTTTTAAGTTTTGTATGGTCTACTACAGCTACAAGTACCTACATGTACATGTATCTGCGGATTTCAAGATTTTGATAATCGAATCCTTCATGAACAGGCCGTTAACCGCCGTAAATTTCCCAATTGAGATGTTTGTTAATCTAATCAACATCGGGTAACCAATTCAAAGGTTTTGTGAAATCGTAAACAATAAGAAACATCACAGTGTTCGAATTTGTTCTATCTTCGTTTACTTGAACCTACAGCTGCTCGGACGCTTTTTGCATAGATTCGCATACCTGCATCATTAAGGTGAACTTTATCACACAAAAGAGAAGCTGTATCCTTCCAGGACAAACACCACCAAATGTTTCCCATAGACTTCCATACAAACTTTAGCCCCTCTCACTGATACATATATTGAATTTCGGGCAAATGACCTTTTTGTCGTGAAAGTTCGAGATATTGGAAAACAAAAGATGCCAGAAAAAATATACCGTGCCGTTGCACTTTTACTTTCAATTTCCATTTGTTTACAACTAGGTGCGTTTGACACCAAATGAAAATCTCTAACCAAAGTGCATCCCTCCCTTCAAATTTTTACCTGTAACTCCTATATACCTCAAAGAAACCCAAGTCTTGATATGAGATTTTTATCAACTTTATTTCACTTGTCAAATACATAACAAGTCTTTTCTCTTATTGACCAATCACGCGCCAGCTAGCATTTTCTCCTCCGCACAACCTTGGGTGTCCAAAATGTCTGCGCCCATGTATTTGTTTATGTAGGGGTTTTTCCTATAGAGTAAAAGAAACATTTGTAAAAAGTGGTCAATTTACGCAAGTGAGTTAAGGTTAAATATGGGTTTTTCTATGCAAATGGGCTTATAAAAAATGCATGAAGTGTATATTTTATGTACAGAAAAAGTTCAAATTGACTTTCTGATACATACTTAGTACCCACAGTATATTATTGCAAGTGCACATTATGACGTCATATTATGACGTCATAGTTCTTTCCCATTCAAGGTAATAAAACACATCAACAAAACAACGTCGGCGCAAGGGCATATCCTATTTAATTTAAAATAAATAAAGTATAATATTAAAGATAATAGTCTTAGAATCAATAAAATTGCTGCACAAATCCTATCCTCTTCTTTAATCGAGAAAAATTTTACTAAACTTACACTGGACTGTACATTTTTACCCTGTTTCAACTTAGAACTGTACGAATAGTAACTAAACAATTGCAGTGTCGACATTTGTGCAGCGATATCTTAAATCTTTGGAATATTCTGCTTTTCTTTATACCTTGTTTCTGTAAAACAAAGTAGGGTATGCCCTTGCGCCGAAGCGATTTTTTTGATGTTTCATATAGACTTGTGTAGTAGAGGTCGATGACGTCATAATATGACGTCATAATGTGTACTTGCAATCGCATATCGTGGGTACCAAGAATGTATCAGAAAACAAGTCTTAACATTTTCTTTGCGGTATGTATAGCAATTATGGGTCTTAATTAATTATTTTGCATATAAGTCTTCATACGTAGCCTTAACTCACTTGCGTAGTAAATTTAGAACATATATCCATTGCTTATCTGACCTCTTGAATATTGGGACTGACAGTCTTACCTTAAGTACACCATTGGCTGTTACATTTCACACCCCAGTCAATCAGACCCACATCTGTGAAACAGAAAAGATGTCTATAAATTGAAGCATTTTTCTATTTTTCCTTCAAACTTTTGAAATAAAATGATTAATCTAGCATATGTTTTGCTTGTCTTTCTTATTATCTCTAATAATTTCTCAAGGAAGATCATGTTAATCATTCAGGGTAGCAGGTACCCGTTATCAATGAAAAATGAAGAAAATCAGCAGGTTTTTGTAAGAAAAGCTGGATTATGGAAAGAGTGAAAACTAATATAGATAAAATAATCAATGGAAAGAATAGAGAATTATATCTAGTTCAAATGTACATAAGAGTGAAAAAAATTCTATCAGCAGTGCGGTTGCTGGCATCAGAGAATCAAATACATCCCCACTGAAAATTTTGTAATTTTGAAAGGGGGTGACCTACATTTTAGCCAATTTTCATGAACATTTCATGTATTTGATGTTAAATATGTATATTCTCATAAAAGGCAAATATATTTATTTGAATATCATTTCTTATTATTGACCTAATTAATAAATTGAATAAATGCCAAGGGCAGATAAATCATATTGTCTGACTGAATAAAGTGCTCAATTGTAAGCAAAGTGCTTAAATAACTGCAGTTCTCAGGAAATTTATTTTCTAATAATCTATAAAAAGTTCTAAATAACTTAAATATTAAGAGATTAACTAGATTTTCAAAGAAAACAATACCTTGGAACTCTTAATGAAAGCAAAGGGATCATCCCGAGAGTATCCATGTGTTGTTCATTGTAAGAGGGTAGGGTTCATTAATCTCTTCCTTCTTGAGAATGCATCGCTAAAATACATTTTATTATATTAAAACATACTGATAAATGCATCTAGTAGCTTATATCATAATTTTTTATTCTTAACACCATCTTTTGAATTTTTTTTAAGCATTTGTGATGTAATACCTTTAAAATAATCATGTTAAAATAGAATTTACTCAGATAATTATTTTAAAAAATAAAAAAGAAATTGAAAAAAAAATAACTGCAGATAAGCATGACTCTTGTTATTCAAATAAACCAGATTTTAACAAATTTCCCTCATTTTACAGCATGTTTAGAGCACAAAATTACCCCCCCCCCCCCTTTTCAGCAGAATATCAAGATTGGACATGGCAAGGTGGAGGGATATTCAGATACCTTTTTCATAATTTTTTCAGTTATAATTTTGCATATTTATTGCATTTTCAATGTATTTTCTGCAAAAATATATTGTACTGTAATTTAAATTAAATTTCCTACTAGTAATCTCTAAGTTTCACCAAAAGTATAACTTTTATTTCAAGCCAGCACTGATTACATGACTGAAACTGGCTTTGCTGCTGGATTATGCCCCTTATGTAAAAACAAAGTAACCTAATTAGTAAATAGCAGTCAAATTTTGTTATAAATTATTCGATCAACTCTGATTATCACAAATTTGAAAGAGGATTAATCAATCTGTTCCAATGTCTACACTCATAAAATACATGGATTTAAATAAATTTCTCAAACTGCGAGGGGGATATTCATATGTTTTGTGTATTGATGATGCCCATAAATATTGATATTGCATTATTTACAATATTCACAGTAAATTTCGGTATAAATATTATTTAAAGTTATTTACATGTACATTTATTGAAAATATGAGAGCTAGGGCACAAATTTTGGCATTTTTTCACTATGTGCAGTCCCCATTGTGAGCCCCAATTTACCCAAACCCTCTAATTTTTAAACAAATAGTCAAAACTAACTAAAATATATTCTCAATGCCAAAAAAATAGGAACCGATTGACTTTTAGGCTGTAATCAATTTTTATCCCTGAAATCATACCTTTTCTATAGAGTAAAAGAAACATTTGTTAAAAGTGGTCAATTTAGTAAATTTAGAACACATATCCATTGCTTATCTGACCTCTTGAATATTGGGACTGACAGTCTTACCTTAAGTACACCATTGGCTGTTACATTTCACACCCCAGTCAATCAGACCCACATCTGTGAAACAGAAAAGATGTCTATAAATTGAAGCATTTTTCTATTTTTCTTTCAAACTTTTGAAATAAAATGATTAATCTAGCATATGTTTTGCTTGTCTTTCTTATTATCTCTAATAATTTCTCAAGGAAGATCATGTTAATCATTCAGGGTAGCAGGTACCCGTTATCAATGAAAAATGAAGAAAATCAGCAGGTTTTTGTAAGAAAAGCTGGATTATGGAAAGAGTGAAAACTAATATAGATAAAATAATCAATGGAAAGAATAGAGAATTATATCTAGTTCAAATGTACATAAGAGTGAAAAAAATTCTATCAGCAGTGCGGTTGCTGGCATCAGAGAATCAAATACATCCCCACTGAAAATTTTGTAATTTTGAAAGGGGGTGACCTACATTTTAGCCAATTTTCATGAACATTTCATGTATTTGATGTTAAATATGTATATTCTCATAAAAGGCAAATATATTTATTTGAATATCATTTCTTATTATTGACCTAATTAATAAATTGATTAAATGCCAAGGGCAGATAAATCATATTGTCTGACTGAATAAAGTGCTCAATTGTAAGCAAAGTGCTTAAATAACTGCAGTTCTCAGGAAATTTATTTTCTAATAATCTATAAAAAGTTCTAAATAACTTAAATATTAAGAGATTAACTAGATTTTCAAAGAAAACAATACCTTGGAACTCTTAATGAAAGCAAAGGGATCATCCCGAGAGTATCCATGTGTTGTTCATTGTAAGAGGGTAGGGTTCATTAATCTCTTCCTTCTTGAGAATGCATCGCTAAAATACATTTTATTATATTAAAACATACTGATAAATGCATCTAGTAGCTTATATCATAATTTTTTATTCTTAACACCATCTTTTGAATTTTTTTTAAGCATTTGTGATGTAATACCTTTAAAATAATCATGTTAAAATAGAATTTACTCAGATAATTATTTTAAAAAATAAAAAAGAAATTGAAAAAAAAATAACTGCAGATAAGCATGACTCTTGTTATTCAAATAAACCAGATTTTAACAAATTTCCCTCATTTTACAGCATGTTTAGAGCACAAAATTACCCCCCCCCCCTTTTCAGCAGAATATCAAGATTGGACATGGCAAGGTGGAGGGATATTCAGATACCTTTTTCATAATTTTTTCAGTTATAATTTTGCATATTTATTGCATTTTCAATGTATTTTCTGCAAAAATATATTGTACTGTAATTTAAATTAAATTTCCTACTAGTAATCTCTAAGTTTCACCAAAAGTATAACTTTTATTTCAAGCCAGCACTGATTACATGACTGAAACTGGCTTTGCTGCTGGATTATGCCCCTTATGTAAAAACAAAGTAACCTAATTAGTAAATAGCAGTCAAATTTTGTTATAAATTATTCGATCAACTCTGATTATCACAAATTTGAAAGAGGATTAATCAATCTGTTCCAATGTCTACACTCATAAAATACATGGATTTAAATAAATTTCTCAAACTGCGAGGGGGATATTCATATGTTTTGTGTATTGACGATGCCCATAAATATTGATATTGCATTATTTACAATATTCACAGTAAATTTCGGTATAAATATTATTTAAAGTTATTTACATGTACATTTATTGAAAATATGAGAGCTAGGGCACAAATTTTGGCATTTTTTCACTATGTGCAGTCCCCATTGTGAGCCTCAATTTATCCAAATCCTCTAATTTTTAAACAAATAGTCAAAACTAACTAAAATACAATCTCAATGCCCAAAAAATAGGAACCGATTGATTTTTTGGCTGTAATCAATTTTTATCCCTGAAATCATACCTTTTCTATAGAGTAAAAGAAACATTTGTTAAAAGTGGTCAATTTAGTAAATTTAGAACACATATCCATTGCTTATCTGACCTCTTGAATATTAGGACTGACAGTCTTACCTTAAGTACACCATTGGCTGTTACATTTCACACCCCAGTCAATCAGACCCACATCTGTGAAACAGAAAAGATGTCTATAAATTGAAGCATTTTTCTATTTTTCTTTCAAACTTTTGAAATAAAATGATTAATCTAGCATATGTTTTGCTTGTCTTTCTTATTATCTCTAATAATTTCTCAAGGAAGATCATGTTAATCATTCAGGGTAGCAGGTACCCGTTATCAATGAAAAATGAAGAAAATCAGCAGGTTTTTGTAAGAAAAGCTGGATTATGGAAAGAGTGAAAACTAATATAGATAAAATAATCAATGGAAAGAATAGAGAATTATATCTAGTTCAAATGTACATAAGAGTGAAAAAAATTCTATCAGCAGTGCGGTTGCTGGCATCAGAGAATCAAATACATCCCCACTGAAAATTTTGTAATTTTGAAAGGGGGTGACCTACATTTTAGCCAATTTTCATGAACATTTCATGTATTTGATGTTAAATATGTATATTCTCATAAAAGGCAAATATATTTATTTGAATATCATTTCTTATTATTGACCTAATTAATAAATTGATTAAATGCCAAGGGCAGATAAATCATATTGTCTGACTGAATAAAGTGCTCAATTGTAAGCAAAGTGCTTAAATAACTGCAGTTCTCAGGAAATTTATTTTCTAATAATCTATAAAAAGTTCTAAATAACTTAAATATTAAGAGATTAACTAGATTTTCAAAGAAAACAATACCTTGGAACTCTTAATGAAAGCAAAGGGATCATCCCGAGAGTATCCATGTGTTGTTCATTGTAAGAGGGTAGGGTTCATTAATCTCTTCCTTCTTGAGAATGCATCGCTAAAATACATTTTATTATATTAAAACATACTGATAAATGCATCTAGTAGCTTATATCATAATTTTTTATTCTTAACACCATCTTTTGAATTTTTTTTAAGCATTTGTGATGTAATACCTTTAAAATAATCATGTTAAAATAGAATTTACTCAGATAATTATTTTAAAAAATAAAAAAGAAATTGAAAAAAAAATAACTGCAGATAAGCATGACTCTTGTTATTCAAATAAACCAGATTTTAACAAATTTCCCTCATTTTACAGCATGTTTAGAGCACAAAATTACCCCCCCCCCTTTTCAGCAGAATATCAAGATTGGACATGGCAAGGTGGAGGGATATTCAGATACCTTTTTCATAATTTTTTCAGTTATAATTTTGCATATTTATTGCATTTTCAATGTATTTTCTGCAAAAATATATTGTACTGTAATTTAAATTAAATTTCCTACTAGTAATCTCTAAGTTTCACCAAAAGTATAACTTTTATTTCAAGCCAGCACTGATTACATGACTGAAACTGGCTTTGCTGCTGGATTATGCCCCTTATGTAAAAACAAAGTAACCTAATTAGTAAATAGCAGTCAAATTTTGTTATAAATTATTCGATCAACTCTGATTATCACAAATTTGAAAGAGGATTAATCAATCTGTTCCAATGTCTACACTCATAAAATACATGGATTTAAATAAATTTCTCAAACTGTGAGGGGGATATTCATATGTTTTATGTATTGACGATGCCCATAAATATTGATATTGCATTATTTACAATATTCACAGTAAATTTCGGTATAAATATTTATTTTAAGTTATTTACATGTACATTTATTGAAAATATGAGAGCTAGGGCACAAATTTTGGCAATTTTTCACTATGTGCAGTCCCCATTGTGAGCCCCAATTTACCCAAACCCTCTAATTTTTAAACAAATAGTCAAAACTAACTAAAATACAATCTCAATGCCCAAAAAATAGGAACCGATTGATTTTTTGGCTGTAATCAATTTTTATCCATGAAATCATACCTTTTCTATAGGACAAACACCACCAAATGTTTTCCCATAGACTTCCATACAAACTTTAGCCCCTCTCACTGATACATATATTGAATTTCGGGCAAATGACCTTTTTGTCGTGAAAGTTCGAGATATTGGAAAACAAAAGATGCCAGAAAAAATATACCGTGCCGTTGCACTTTTACTTTCAATTTCCATTTGTTTACAACTAGGTGCGTTTGACACCAAATGAAAATCTCTAACCAAAGTGCATCCCTCCCTTCAAATTTTTACCTGTAACTCCTATATACCTCAAAGAAACCCAAGTCTTGATATGAGATTTTTATCAACTTTATTTCACTTGTCAAATACATAACAAGTCTTTTCTCTTATTGACCAATCACGCGCCAGCTAGCATTTTCTCCTTCGCACAACCTTGGGTGTCCAAAATGTCTGCGCCCATGTATTTGTTTATGTAGGGGTTTTTCCTCCACAAACCTCGATGTTTCCACAAAGTAACATTATCACATTCTAACAATAACTGGGACAGATATTTATTCACTTCAACGACCTTGTCATTGGAGTGTGACTAAAATGGGTAGCGAAACCCGGGCCGGGCCGGGATTTTCGATAACGAAAACCGGGTTTTTTTTATAATTACGAGATAAATACTCATTCTTTCTTTATGAAATTTACAGACATAGTTTATAACTATATGTTTTGCCTTCGCTGAGAATTTTAAGTCAAAATGTTGTGTTTTTCGATGATTATCGCCGATTGTCCTTTTCCAGGTGACTAAAATGGGTAGCGAGCCCGGTTTACTCATTTTGGCGATTTTAAGCTTAATGCATCGAAAGTGTTTGTGATATTTGCATTTAATGGTTGTTTATTAACTTTAAATAGTTAAATTGTTCAATCATTATGAAATCAAATGTCAATTATAAGGTTTTTTGTCGTTTTTCATAGACCCGGGACAGGTCAAAACCGGACGCGTTTGCCCGGGACAAATTAATAATTCCGGATTGCCAGAGAAAGAATGTAGATTTTTTTCAGTCCCTGACCGAGATACATCAAAGAAATAAATTGGAAAAAAATAATTGAAATATGCAAATCAAAAAAGAGTCATTTATATTTCAATTATTTGTCATTCTCTGCTAAGTATTTCGGAAATAAAAGGGTTTTCCCGGTTGAACGTGTCCGGTTTCGACCAGTCCCGGGTGTTCAAAAAATGCGTATATTTTCAATAATCGCGATTTATTACTGCAACAGTTAAATGTTTTAGGTAGTGTAAGTTTAAAACCAAAGATTCAAATGAAATAATTGTAAATATGCTGCCGAAATTAAGTTTAAATCGCCAAAATGAGTAATCCGGGCTCGCTACCCATTTTAGTCACCTGGAAAAGGACAATCGGTGATAATCATTGAAAAACAGAACATTTTGACCTAAAACTTTCAGCGAAGGCCAATCCCAGAATAATAATCTATGTCCGTAAATTTCATGAAGAAAGAATGAGTATTTATTTCGTGATTATTAAAAACCCGGTTTTCGTTATTGAAAATCCCGGCCCGGCCCGGGTTTCGCTACCCATTTTAGTCACACTCTTGTCATTGTACCGAGGTCCCGAACGTTCGGAATACCTCGGTAACAATTGACCAACCACAATATGATTAATTTCATAAGCGGTAATCAAGAATTCTGCAAATGATCTAATGTCACGAGCCAACCGCTCTGGTTGATCTTCGTGCGTTAGGTCATTTCCACCAATCTGAATAAAAACTGAGTGCGGTTGAAAGGAGTAAAACACTTCCATGAATTTTCGTGACTGGATGCATTTCTGCCCTGGCCTCAAAGTTCCGCCACTCAAACTCGCAAATTCAACCTGTATCTCGGTTCAAACAAATCCCATATTATACCAACCCAATGCTCTTTCTTTGAAAAGAAATGATTCTAACCTATGTACAAATGAATGACCAATAACTAGAACCCGATGAACCATGATTATTAATTACTGAAATGTATAAAACAGATAGATAGAGAAATGATATGGGTGGCCTATACCTTCTGAGATGATTCTAAATAATCCGTAAGAATTGAAGGTAAACTGGCATCGGGTAAATTGAATTCTTGTTAAGATTTAGGTGCGTCCAGCAGCTCTTAAAACAAAAAAGTGAATAATTGAGATACCTCTGACCAAGATAGGATTTCAGTATAGATTACTTCAATCTGATTGGCTAATTAGCTAATTGGATTAATCAAGATGGCTATTGCATACACAGTGTCCCTGCCATGCCAGGTTGCAAATTCCATCTGTTGACATGTAATTATTCACCAGATGCCAATAATAAATGATGCCCCCCACCTACATGTCTGGTGGCTAATCTAAAGACCTTAATCATTTATGTTATCAATGATGAGTATATAATTATAACAACAGTATCTTATTACAAAATTTGCTGCCAAAAATGTTTTTATTTACAATAAAATAGGTTACTTTGAAATTATAAAGGTGTGATCTTCTTTATATACAGTAATTCCGACGGATTTCCAATGGACAATAAAAAAGTATCTTTATAAGCCTACTATTTTTATGTTTATATAAGGTAGATTTTATTCAAAAAGTTCTTCATGATCAGAGAAAAACAGTTGCTGCGGTAACAAATCATAATTCAGATACTCAGTTTATCGACTATGGTAAATTAATGATAATGAATAATAATTAGGTTTACTCATAAGTCGACTCGATTTATCAATGAACTCATGTCACAGGTTGTGAAAAATCAATTCTTATCCGGGACTCGACCCTGGAACCTCTAGCGTACCAACACAGCAATTTTATTTTTTTTTTTGCTCTAAACCCGATATATTGTTTTACTTTCACGCACCTTTGAACATGTAATACTTAACATTAAAGATATCAGAGAGCCTGTCTGCAATTTGACTTTTCTCTGACAAAAGAGGATAAAGGCCAGTTAAAAACTAACTGAGTAGGATCTTTTTTTTTAAACGAGGCTTCTCGCTAAAACTTTGAATAGTGTCTACTTGATCCACACAGAAGGCAGGAGGTGTGTGTGATTCATCACCAGGGGATGTTTTCTCCCCTCTCCAGGCTTTCGCGTTTTATGCCCTCTTCGTCTTTAAAGGTTTTTGGAAATCAATCATTGTTTGATTTCTTCTTCCTTCACCTCGGAAATTGATACCACACCACATCTTGGAGTTCTATTTCACGGAAGCTCAGTCGGTAGAACGCTCTCTCCGTGATCGGGAGGTCGTGAGTTCGTATCTTGGCCGCGACTGACCTATTCGATAAAATTGATAGCAATAGTTCCTTCGCCATGCGCTCGGCACTTTGAAGTGAAAGTTACTGGTTCTTCGGATGAGACCTTAAGAACCGAGGCCTCGTGTCAGCACGATAAATATCCCTCACTGCTCAATGTGGCCCTGAGTGCCGAATAAAGGTAAACATTTGAAGCCATTCACCGGCATACGGTGACGTCTCCATATGAGCGAAAAATTCTCGAGAGGGACGTTAAACAATATTCAATCAATCAATCAATCTTAGAGATCCATTATCACTCTGATCTAACTTTCTATATCGGTTCAAAGCATTTTTAGCTTCCTTAAGGTTCCTTATCTCTGCACCGTGGGATAACTTGCAATACAGACTTCGCCCGTTATTCATTTTTAGTAGATAACCCCATATTTCCAACTATTCTGGATTGTCTCTAGCAAAACCTATCAATAGACAGTGATTCCTTATACTTCAATATTCTGTGAGAAATAAAATTGTTAAATATAGATTTCAAAAATACAGTAACACTAGTTTATAACGAAGTATCTTGGACATGTGAAATTACTTCGCTATTTCTGTATGCGTTATACATGTATCTGCGTAAGGAATATAGCTGTGGATTCAAAATTACTTCGTTATATCCGTGAATTCGCAATATTTGTGTTTGTACTAAAAGGGTTTTACTGTATCTGAAAGATTCTTAGTACATTTCAACACGTGATAATTTATACTCGCCTTCTGGCGTTACATCAGACACAAACAGTTCCGCACATGGACAGCTGCATATAATTTTGGGAAAATGCGCTTTAATATCAATTCTATGTAATTATCAAACAATATATATAATGCTTGGCCACGCTACATTTTCAATTTTAATGAAACTTTGTGTGTACTCACATTGTCACATCATTAATCGTTTTATATTTTTTTATTTCAAAAAATGTCTCGTTGCCATGGTAACGGCACCTATTGTTTCCCCTGTAAATTCTTCCTTACTTACTTCCTTACATTTGACCAAAAAACGTGATTTTGCAGGTTTTCCTTAATAAAATGAACTTAAAAGAACCAAGAGACTGTGAAAAACTACTTTTGTTTCAAAACTACTATTATTCCTCTTTAGTATAACAACATAATTTTTTTAAAAATTTAATTCTATACAATTGCTTAACAACGCTTTTCTTTGGGGATTTTGGCATTTTGCCAAATTGAGAAAATTACCATTTTAGACCCTTTTTCAAAGCGATTTTTTAATATTTTGCACACTGATTTGAAATTCATGAAACAGTGCATTGCATAGATGGTATATAAGTTAGTTTAAACAAATTAAAATATTTATGGGACATTTAAATATTTTTTTAAAAAGCTGATGAAAAATTGCCCAAAATTTGCAAAATTTCCGTATTTCAAGGAACATATGCACATTTCATTAAGTTCATATAGAAAAAGAAATGTTCCTTTCTACCTGTTTTGGTGTCATTTACAGTAAAATTAGTCCATATCTAGGAAAAGTGTCATGTAAAAATATTCACATCCCATTTCCAAGAGCATTAAAACATGTAAATCTGTTCATATATAGAACTGTGAACACCTGCACAAAATGCCCCCCCCCCCCTTTCCGTAAAATTGACAATTTTGAAGTACATATAGACTAACAAGGGCATGTTTCAAGTTTCCTGAAACTATCCCTTTAGATTTAAACAAATATGAAATAAAATTTTCAATATCCATTCTCTGTTACTATGAAAACAGGAATGCAAGATTTGTTACCATGGAGACAGGAATACCAGATTTTTAACAAAATGGCTGCGTTTAACAATATTCCCAAAACTACACTTCTTTACTCTTTTATAAAACCTGTGTAATGAATTAAATATGAATGTGAACTAAATTTTTTGGCATTTTAAATTTGCATCTTTATGATATTGCAAAAATATAATGCATTTTGAAATGCTGTGTCAAAAAAT